AGAGAGAGAGAGGGTGCGGTAATACCAACTGGGGTCCAGGTAATGGGGATCTTTAAAGCCTCGAGAGAAACTTGTGGCAGGAGAGGAGAAAGAAGGGAGAGAGAGTGTGTGAATAAGTATGGAGAGAGAAATAAATTGCGGAGAGGTAGCAAGGAATTGAAGAAGGAGAGAAGAGAGAGAGAGAGAGAGAGAGAGAGAGAGAGAGAGAGAGAGAGAGAGAGAGAGAGAGAGAGAGAGAGAGAGAGAGAGAGAGAGAGAGGGGGGGGGATCTTAACACTGATTATATAACAAGAACACGACAAAATTGAAAGAAAACTCGACACGAAGCACCTCATTGCTCTCACCTTGAGTATGCACCACTCTCTTGGATTGCCTCTTCCTTATCTCTTCTATGGTTTCTGAACAAATCAGTTGATAGTGGAAGGCGATCCCATCATCCGCCTTGGTTCTCACTTCAAAATGGCTTAGTTTTCACACACATGGGCATTAATTCAAAGGGCTTTGGTTCTCACATCACACTGGCATTAGTTCTCAAATCACGTGGGCTGGCATTAGTTCTCACATCACTGAGGCTTAAATTCTTACATCACATGGGCATTAGTTCTCACATCACATTGGCATTAATTCTCACACCAACATGGCTTTAGTTCTTACATCACATGTGTTTCAGAAAAATAAATTATAGTGACCACATATAGCTCACAGCTGACTCCATTATTAGTAGTAACATACACGAGGAAGCACTAAACCCCTATGGGTCATAGAGTGCCCGATGAATGGGAAGTATTCAAATCTAGAAGAAGGAAGGTGAAAGTAGCACCATTGCTTTTTGAATCAGTTGTCCTTAACCTGGCCTTGTCTGGCCTGGTCTCAGACCAGGGCGCGGGGGCGTTGACCCCCTAAATCCTCTCCAGGTAAACTCCAGGTATAACCATTATCAAAGTTATTATTATTATTATTATTATTATTATTATTATTATTATTATTATTATTATTATTATTATTATTATTATTATTATAAAGAAACAAAAGGCTTCCACATTACCAAATGTATGTTTGCTGAGTGAACTATGATAAAGGAGACCTAAAAGAAGCTATGCATTAAGGAAAGCTGTATTTTCACACGACGTTCAGTCCCACGTAGAGGTTCATAAGGTAAATATATGGAGAAGTTCCGCATAACAGTAGTATGGAAGGTAACAAGCGGAGAGGTGTGATGTTCTCTGATGTTGTGGTGTGTGTGTGTGTGTGTGTGTGTGTGTGTGTGTGGTGTGTGTGTGTGTGTGTGGACGACAACGTCACTTCCACTCAGATGGTCGCCGCATATAAGTAAATTCTCACAAAAGCGGAATAAACCTAATAAGGCCAGTTTTCGAAATAAGCCCAGACACACGTATAAGACACATCAACACCCATAAACTGGGAAATGAAGACGCGTATTCAACACTTGAAACATTTATTGGAAGTAGTTTCTCCCGCTGCTTCCATTTTCAAATAACAACGATACTTGGTTTGTACAAGAATTTCAGGAGGACTGAATCTCCCTCCAGTTAAAACCTTTAGTGTACTTAAAAATGCAATACAATTAACAGAGAAATATTATTACCTTGGTAGGAGAGGGTTCATATAGCTCCTGAAGAAGATGGTGAGGATAGTGAAGGATTGAGAGAGAGAGAGAGAGAGAGAGAGAGAGAGAGGAGAGAGAGAGAGAGAGCAGAATTACCTGTTCATTGGCAGCGTTCATCATAACACCGTCCATCCACCAGGATAGCGTCGCGGGAGGCCTGGAGCCAGTCGACTCACACCTGAAGGACGTGTGCTGGCCCTCCAGCAGTGCTGGGTTTGAGCCAAGTATCCTTACATCCAACGGCGGAACTACCACGCAGAGAAAACAGAATGACTGGTTGGTATGGTTCGTCCCTAAGTTATAGAACAAAGCAAATTCCTACCTGAGACAGGTATATATACATTAGGTGTATATACACTTGTGTTTATTTACTATGAGATGTGCACCTCAAAATATGCATATATATAATATATATATATATATATATAATATATATATATATAATTATATAATATATATATATATATATATATATATATATATATACATTTATATATTTATATATATAATACACACACACTGAGTGATACACAGCATATGTTTTATAATGGGTAGAAAGCAAGGCGAATAATATACAAAAAAAACGAAGCCTTGCAGAAGGCTTATTATTATTATTATTATTATTATTATTATTATTATTATTATGAATACTATTATTATTATTGTGCTTCTTTTTCAAAGGAAAGACCTAAATCAGTAGGAGTCATACATATCTTGTGGAACAACTTACAGCTCATGTCGATAGTGACAGAGACGTGAAGAGGTTGGGTAAGGTTTGAATTGTCTGCCCGGCACGTGATGACCCTATACAGGTGGTGACGACTCAGGTTAGGTAAGGTCAAGGTGTTTCGCGTGACCTGGCTGCTGTTGCTTTCGCTCAGGTCATCCAGCAGTGACCCCTCGTGCCACCAGGTCACTACTGGCGGAGGGCGACCTGTGGGAAGGTCACAGGAAAAATTAGGAAGAAAGGGGATAATAAAAATATTTGGAAGCAGATGATGATAAAAATAGAGATAGAAAAAATGAAAATGTTTAAAAGTGTAAAGAAGAAGCCTGCAAACGAGAAACGAATTTGAAAATGTAGAAGAAGGGGAGCAATGGATATGGGACGGGAGACAGAGAGGATAGCGAGAAGTTATATTGTTATTTGTCTTATACTGTAAAGAAAACTCAGATGAAGGACAAACCTTTATCAATAACAGTCTTCTGCGAATAAATAAAGTGTAATGAACAATAGTCAATGCCCAATAATAGCCCACATAGACAGAAACTCAGAATATTAATGTGACTATATATGTCGGCCCCCTTCTGGGGGTCATCTTCCGAAGGGGATCAAAATATGCAGGCCAATTAATCTTCTGAATTTCTCTCTCCATGTGGGTTACTTTTGAGCACAGTCTTCTGCCTTAACTGCCTTACTCAGGTAGTTCAGTAAATTTGTTAGGTATGAAAAACCCCATGTGATTCCAAGCTTATACTCATTAACCAAATTAATTAAGCTTCTCGAGGCGTGGTGTTTTAATTATATTCGCATCATGTAGATTGTAATGATTTCACAGCTATTGATGTGTGGCTGACTGGGCGGTACTTTGACGGTAGAGATTTATCTCCCGGTTTGTAGATAAGAATCCCCTTACCAGAATCTCCTTACCTGTAGTAATACTGTATATTGAAATGACTAGTTTGTGGCTTGCTAAGTTCCTAGTGGCATTCTTTAAGGATTTCTAAACATAGCTTGTCGAGACTCGGGGAATTATTTTGTTGTAATCAGAACACCTGTTACATAACTCTCTCTAGTGACTGTGATATTACATATTTCGTTTTTTCTCAGGATCTTAATAATTGTTTCGATTTCGTTTGTGTTTTCTTGTGTAAAAACCGTCAGAAAATAATTGTTAAAAATTGAGCCATTACTTTCTCATTGGCAGTAAGCTGTCCAAAGTTAGTTTAAAGTGGACCCAACTTTTCTCTACACTTTGTGCTCTATGCTTGGAAGAAATATTTTAGGTTTGTCTTTGATTCCTTTGCAACTATGATTTCATAGGGGCCTTTAGCTTTTCTTCTTCTTTTGCCTCATATTTAGGATGTACATATTGATTCATAAGGTGACCCTTTTTCTATCTTGAAGCGCTTATAAATCTCTCTTTTCTCCTCCAAAAGGTGTTTCAGTCTCCTTTTCATCCATTTCGGACCACTTTTACTCTATCTTATTTCTTGGTTAGGATTAAATGTTTTTGTGCAACTTCTTTTGTTTTGGAAGTTCTTTTCGACACCCCAGACATGATTACACAGGTGCAGTTTAGGTCCACTGTAATCAGCATTACTGTATTATCAGTGTTATCATATTGAAAGGGACATTTAACAGATTTGAAATGAGTTGTGTCAAACTCTTCTGTAATCTCCATATTACTTTCGATGGTCTTCCGGTTTGTTAGAAGAAAATCAAGCAGGTTATTTCTATAGTTCGTTCTTTAGTAAAATGTTATAATAAGCACTGCTGGATTATTAAAAAAAATTGCTCGAATCTGAATTCCAGAAAGAGAATTCTAGCCATTTTGGCTAAAATTAAAATTACATAAGATTACTATTTTTTTTCAGATCTATAAATCTTAAAACTTTCGTCCCAAAGAAGTCTCCTAAGGAGGTCGATAGTTCACCCCTATATCAGATTTTCATCTCCTTCAAAAAAGTTGCAACTGTACAGATTCTGTGTCAATATCTTCAGATTTTATATCATTTCTGATGCAACTGTTCAAATTTTCTCTGACCTATAACGACGCTTCACCAACCTCTTTTGTTACTTTGAAATTATTTAAACTCTCGTATATTGCATTAGGCAGATATTTTCCAATTCTTTAATTTAAATCATTAAGTAACTTGCAATAATATTTTTTTTTTTGCATGGGTCAATAGGCCTGTTGTAGTGTTCCTTCTTTCTTATGTTCTTATGTTCTTTTTTCTTCTTCTTTATTTTATCTTTCATTTTCGCGATTATATATTTATCCACTTAGGAAATTTCTTAAAATTGTCTAAATATGTTTTATTTCTAATTTTCTTGAATCCCATAAGCAGTTTTCACATTGTTTAGCTTTTCAGGATCACTGTTAGAAGCTTGTGTAAGACCCCGACAGACGACTGACTTTCTACTGACTTTCACTCCCTATTGTGAAAGATGAATTCCAGCCTTTGCAACACATGACACTTCTGTCGAAAAAACAGTCTCAGCTATCATTTAACTTTATCTTGGGCTCTTCACGTCACTTACGAAGCCGGATGTTTACTCCTATTGCCCTGGACAGCCATTTATTCCCTACCTTTATTCTAGGTAGAATGTCTCCTACATTGGGTAGTCCACACAAGTCTTGAACCCTTATACGGATCGTCAGAATCCGTATAAGGGTTTAGCTTCTTTTTTCTCTCGATCCCTGACCTGTAATTTCCTTTGACGTCTTCTACGTCTCCAGCTCTAACATAACCCGAAGGTGAAGCTGCTTCAGAGAAGTCTTCCTAATTTACTCATACTAAGCATTCTGTAGATAAGTCTTCATACGACACGTGTCAACTCCTTTTCTCTGCCTCTCCCTTGTCTGCATCCCTTCCCATCTGATCCTCTCTCCTCTTCTCTACCTCTCTCCCCTTCTCTGTTTCTTTTCTCATCGTCTTCCCACCTTTAACCTTTCCATGAAAGATAATCTCTAAGAGTCTTGCTAATGTTCATTACCGGCGAAGAGGGTGGTCGAGGATGACACAGTCACAAGCTTTATTACTCACAAAATCATAAATGCTCAGATATATGAGGAGACAGGAAGAAAATAAGATGTAAACTGAAAAACTTAAATAAATATACCTGCACATGTTCGTGTACTTTACTGACATATATATAGACACTGCATTCAGTCTTAAAGGACAGGTGATATATCAAAACTGATATAAACACAACTGGGTAAGTATGGACTCACACACACACACACACACACACACACACACACACACACACACATTTCTCTCTGTCTCTCTCACACACACACACATACACACACATGAAGCACTAAACTACAGACCAGTGTCACTGACATGTATAGTATGCAAAGTCATGGAGAAGATTATCAGAAGAGTGGTGGAACACCTAGAAAGGAATGATCTCATCAACAGCAGCCAGCATGGTTTCAGGGACGGGAAATCCTGTGTCACAAACCTATTGGAGTTCTATGACATGGTGACAGCAGTAAGACAAGAGAGAGGGGGGTGGATTGCATTTTTTGGGACTGAAAGGGAAGCGTTTGACACAGGTCCACACAAGAGATTAGTGCAAAAACTGGAGGACCAAGCGGGGATAACGGGGAAACACTAAATGGACAGGGAATACTTGTCAGGAAGACACAGCGAGTCATGGTACGTGGCGAGGTGTCAGAGTGGGCACCTGTGACCAGCGGGGTCCCACAGGGGTCAGTCCTAGGACTAGTGCTGTTTCTGGTATTTGTGAACGACATGAGGGAAGGAATAGACTCTGAGGTGTCACTGTTTTGCAGATGACGTGAAGTTAAATGAGAAAATTCATTCGATCGAAGACCAGCAAAAACTACAAAGGGATCTGGCAGGCGCTGACCGGTCCAGCAATTGGCTCCGGGATTTTCAATCCCACCAAGTGCAAAGTCATGAAGTTTGGGGAAAGAGCAAAGAAGACCGCAGACGGAGTACAGTCTAGGGGGCCAGAGACTACAAACCTCACTCAAGGAAAAAGATCTTGGGTGAGTATAACACCAGACACTCTCCTGAAACGCCCCATCAACCAAATAATGGCGGCAGCATATGGGCGCCTAGCAAACCTCAGAACAGCATTCCGACACTTAAAAAGGGGAATCGTTCAGGAACCCTGTACCCCGTGTACGTTAGGCCCATTTTGGGAGTATGAGGCACCATTTTGGAACCCACACCTAGCCAAGCACTAAAGAAACTAGAGAAAGTGCAAAGGTTTGCAACAAGACTAGTCCCAGAGCTAAGAGGTATGTCCTACGGGGAGAAGTTAAGGGAAAAAACCGAGGGACACTGGGGGAAACAGGAAGATAGGGGGGACATGATAACGACATACAAAATACTGAGAGACATTGAAAAGGGGAAAAAAGACAGGTTGTTCCAGAGATGGGCCCACAGTAACAAGGGGACACAGCTGGAAGTTGAAGACACAGATGAATCACGGGGATTTAGGAAGTATTTCTTCAGCCACAGAGTAGTCAGGAAGTGGAATAGTTTGGGAAGCGAAGTAGTGGAGGCAGGATCCATACATAGCTTTAAGCAGAGGGATGATAAAGCTCACGGTACAGGGAGGTGACCTAGTAGCGACCAGTAAAGAGGCGGGGCCAGGAGCTTGGACGCGACCCCTGCAACCTCAACTAGGTGAGAACTAGGTGAGGTGAGTACACACACACACACACACACACACACACACACACACACACACACACACACACACACACACACACACACCACACCCCACACAGGCCAAGTGTCTATCGACAAGAGCCTTTGAAATTTGCTAACTACCACTACTACTACTACTACTACACAGAAGCGTGTCACTTACCTCCAGTCACTTGACAGGTAAGAACCAGGCTGCTCCCTAATGAATACGGACCGATGACTCCGTTCACCTCCACCCCCTCAGAATTCAGGATGGACACCCTCTGTGGTGGAACTGTGGAAGGGAGATCCAGTGTAATAACAGTAGTGTTTTTTCGGGTTCTATCTGAAATCTTCTTCAGCAAAGCCTCTGTTAAAAGAGCTGAGTTAGAAAGCCCGAATTAGAAACTTCGTTAGAAGCTGTAAATTCACCGCTTTCTCGTTTTTACTTCTTTATTCATGTATTCAGGTTGATATCTTCGTTTACTTATATGAGGTCCTCATCAGCAGATATATGAGTGCTATTCTCGTATCTGCTGATGAGGACCTCATTTGGAGGTCGACATATACAAAGAAATTTTATTTGCTTTTCTGTTTACATCCTGTCTTACTTCTCATAGAAACGCTTTTTGTTTGTTTGTTTGTTTGTGTGTGTGTGTGTGTGTGTGTGTGTGTGGTGTGTGTGTGTGTGTGTGTGTGTGTTGTGTGTGTGTACTCATCTATTTGTGCTCACCTATTTGTGGTTGCAGGGGTCGAAACTCAGCTCTTGGCCCCGCCTCTTCAGTGACCACTACTGGGTCCTCCCTCACCTTGCTCCATGAACTTTGTCATACCTCGTCTTAAACTATGTATGGTACCTGCCTCCACCTGTGTGTGTGCGTGTGTGTGTGTGTGTGTGTGTGTGTGTGTGTGCAAGTGTGTGTGAGTGGGAAAGATTTTTTTTCAGATTTTCCGCGACCTCTCCCGAACAGAAAATGTGTCTTCAAAGGACACATTTCCTCCCATAAAAACGATGCACAACTCCGCCATCCATTCTCCATTAAAGAAAATTAAAAAAAGTGAAAAGAAGAAATCGTGAGAGGGGGAAAAACGAATGTTATTTAAAGTAAAACACTTCAAATCGTATTCCAATCTATTTCTGGAATAAGAAAATAAAGACAACAATAAAGAACAAGTAAATGGTCGAAATTCTTTATCAGGAAAACATTTAAAAAACTGAACACCGATGGAGAAACTTTTTCTTTTAGTAAGTAAACTTCAACATTCCTTATTCCTTGAAGAAATTTACAAGACATGCTCAGTTTCTTCCCCTCTCCTTCGTTTTTTTCTTATCTTGAAAGTGTTTAATCTGGTTTTAGTCCTCGAGTATTGCGGTTTATTCATCACTGACGTTTTGGAAACACTACCGTAAACATCACAGGTAACTTAAGGACTTTTTTTACACCTAGACCCGAAGTTACAGGTACATCTAGTTACCCGAAAATTAACAAAAGCCTAAGTACGCTTAATAGTGATGAATAGCACAAGGTAAGCACGAATATGTAAACAAAACCTCACGCAGAGAAGCAAATCTCTTTTACAAATAATATAAAGTCAGCAGTTGTTTGTTAAGAAATACTATGATTTATTTACACATAAGAGTGAGTGTAAACACACAGACATCACATTAGAGATCAAACGCAATATTACCAGAGATGATCCGTACTTATGAAGCGGGGGACAAGTATTTGAGTTAAAATTTGGTTAGGAAATTAGTTAATCGATGGTTTACTGTATCCTTCAGGTCGGTCCTAGGAATCAACAAACTTCTTTTAGCTTCATCAGTAATTAAGAACAACAGTCGTGAAAGTTACACATAATTTATGGATTTAACCCCACATAAATTCATGATATGCTTCAATGTCTGCCTCCGAGGGCAGTTTTGATGCTGGTGAAGGTTTCCTCATCCAAGGAATTGGAGTTATCCGCCTCATTCGTGGATCATACCTGATTACCTCCTGTGGGTTTAGCGCTTTCCCATGATGATGAGAGTAATAATATTTACAAGAGGAGGTCTGTGTCTTGGAAAGTTGAAATTCACATTTAAAATCAAAATTCTATGTATATTTGAGAAGTAGCCTAATATAAGAGCCTCGTGTGAGGAGCATGTTACTGTGGAGACTTGGCCCCCACAAGGGAGGTTCCTTGATGCTGGTGAGGGGCTCTTGATCTAGGGAATTGGATCTGTGCTCCAGTTCCCTGAATTGAGCCTGAATACCTTCCATCCCCCCACATGCGCAGTATAATCCTACAGGTTTAGCGCTCCTGTCATTATAATAATAATTGTGGAGACTTGGACTTCCGACCACTAATCCTAAGGCAAGCTACCTAATTGTACACAATTGTCAACATCATAATAATAATAATAATAATAATAATAATAATAATAATAATAATAATAAAATAATAAATATTTAAGATAATAATAATAATAATATTTATAATAATAAAATTAAAAATACAATAATAATAAAAATTTAATAATAGTAATATTAGTAATAATAATAATGATAATTAAAAATACAAACTACTACTAATACTAATTAATAATAATAATAATAAATAATAATAATTAAATAATAATATAAAAAAAATATTACTACTACTAATAATAATGATAATTTATAAAAAGACTATGGAGTATATATACGAAAAATGTTCCCCCTCACTACTCACCAACACTCCCTCACTACTCACCAACACTCCCTCACTACCAACCAACACTCCTTAACTACTCACCAACGACCAGCAGCCTCACGCCAGTGTTCCTGGTTGGGGATGACTTGAAGTCAATTCTGCAGCGGTAGTCACCATCGTCATCATCCTGGACGTCGGTGATGACGAGTGTCTGGCTGTGGGAGACGTCAAAGTGGGCTCGGTCTCCCAGCCCAGACCAGTGGACCGAACTCTCCATGGACCCGCTCCGCGAGTCGATGCTGTCCAAGATTTATAAGCATTAGTTTTTTTTTTTTTTTCTCCTGTAAACATTTTTTTACAATATTGTTAAAGTAAATAATGTGTGTGTGTGTGTGTGTGTGTGTGTGTGTGTGTGTGTGTGTGTGTGTGTGTGGTGTGTGTGTGTGTGTGTTGTTAAAATTACATTACTTGACTGTGAAGGATACATAATGTGTCTTTCCCTCCTTTTGTATACATTTCTTCATGGATTCATGTGCTCCTCTCCGATACGTATTTACTTATTAGGTGCATAATTTCCTGTTGTTTAAATGACCCTCTTCCTTATGTGGCATGCAAAGAGTACGTAACCTTTATTCGGCGCATGTACACACCCTCATCGAAAGGCTATCTCCCCCAACCAGCAAACCAGACGCTAAGGTTTGACGATGGGGCCCCATCGTTCGATCAGTACCCAGGTTCCAGTCAATGAGAAGATGGTTTTGGCAATCGTAGAGGTGTTGTGGGTACCACACACCTGTCTGCCATTATCATTCCCATTCTAGAGCTGGTTGAAGCACGGTGTGCTCTCTAGTGGCTTCTATTCTGCCTTGCTTACCGTGGAGTGCACTAATACCTATTGTTGTACATAGTGTATATAGTGTACATAATTTTGTTCTTACTTGTTGAAGGATAATGTAAGTCATAACTTTCTCTGCTTTGTTTATTTTGCTCCCTTTACACCCAGGATAACAGGCCTTTGAATTTCTGGGTTGTAATACCTTTTTAATTAACTTTTTTTTTATTATTTATCTGTGATCTTTAGATGCTAAGGTCCGACTGATAACACAAAAGTTCTACACATACCGATAAAAAAATCCTCCTGGGTACAAAAATACTCGTGGATACAAAAATCCTCTTGGGTACAAAATCCTCATGGGAACAAAAATCCTCCTGAGGACAAAATCTCATGGATACAAAAATTCTCCTGGGTACAGAATCCTTCTGGGTGCAGAAATTCTTTGGGGCACATAAATCCTTCTAGGCACAAAAATCCTCCTGAGCACAAAATTCCTCTTTGGATGCTTGTGGCTTAGCGCTTCTTTTTGATTATAATAATAATCCTCTTTGGATGCAAAACATTTTATTGGACACCGAAATTATTTTTTGTCACTAGACCTTTGCAAATTCCAAAATTCTGAATACAAAAATTCTCTGGCACACAGAATTTTTGCTGAATACAAAAATGCATTTAAAATGTCTGTTCTTAAGAGATTTATTGGTGCATTTTTGGATACGTAAATACCTTCTTGAAAAACAAAAATTATCAAAGAACTTGTAGGTACCGAACCATCAGACACATACTATTTTTTGGATTAACTTCTTCCTGGTGGATATATAAGTAATGTAATGGATATATAGAGTAGATATGAGTTGAATTTTACCTACTGGATACACAATTAATTAGTTAGGCATTTGTTTTATTGTGGATTATTACCTTCTGAATACATAATCAACTGGATGTTTGCTGTACTCTTGTATTTATTATTTCCTGCAGGACGCAAATTTTCCTGCTGGACGCACAATTTCCTGTGGACGCAAAATTTCCTACTGGACGCACAATTTCCTGCTGGACGCACAATTTCCTACTGGACGCACAATTTCCTACTGAACGCACAATTTTCTGCTGGACGCACAATTTCCTGCTGGACTCGTAACTCGTCGTCCGAGTAAACCATCTTAAATTTCCTTCTTCCCTGCTAATAACTTTCTTAATCATGTTCTTAAGACTTGCATCCTTACCTCTTATTTGCTACCCCGTCCCCTGTTCTCCCGGCTCTTAACCTCCTATCCCCCTACCCCTTTCTCCCCTCCCTTCCTTCTCCCCACCAACCGGATTCCCGTAAGTTCCTAAACACCACCTACAGACTCCGGCTCTGGCTTCTTCTTCTCCTCCAGCCGGATGCTGGAAAAACTTTCCCCTCCCCCCGCATATCCGGTGTTGGAAACTTGGTGCGCGCCAGATAAAACAGTGATGCTATCCGGTTATCGGCTTTCCGCTCCTCCGTTAGCGATGACAAGAAGAAAAATAATGTATCCATTTTTTTACGATGATTAAAAAATGGAATTAAAAATCAGTAGGCAGAGGGGTGAAGAATCTTGGTGTTGGTAAACTGCTCTTGATTCAAGTAAGTGGAGCTGCACTCTTCTCTCGTCAATCTCAATTAATTGCTTTCCGATTTCCAACAGCTGCTTGATCTTTACGGACTTAGCGTTTCCCCATAAAAATACTAGTAATAATAATAATAATAATAATAATAATAATAATAATAATAATAATAATAATAATAATAATAATAATAATAAATAAAAATTCTAATAATAATATTATTATTATCATTAATAATAGTAATAATAATAATAATAAATAATAATAATAATAGAAATATTTATTATTATTATTATTATTATTATTATTATTATTATTATTATTGCTATTATTATTTTTTATTATCATCTAAGGGAAAACGCTAAACCCGTAGGCATCATACAACTATGTTAAATGGAAAGCAATATTATTAACAGTAGCTGTAGTAGAAGTTATAACAGTATTAGTACTAGCGTTAATATTAGTAGTAGTATTAGTAGTGGTAGAAGTAGTAGCATATTAAAGGCATCAAAAGAGGAACTGGCATATTTTTCACGAAAAAAAGGTGAAACGAAAACAAGACAGTTTAAGACTCTCGGAGTGGATAACGAAGGTGGCTGACAGCAAGTGTGGCAAGACTTAGGGATCCACTGTTGGAACTTTACCACCCTGAGACGAAACTTTTGAGGGATCCACGACTGGAACTTTACCACCCTGAGACGAAACTTTTGAGGGATCCACGACTGGAACTCTACCACCCTGAGACGAATTTTTGGAGGGACTTACGACTGGAACTCTACCACCCTGAGACAAAGCTTAGGGATTCTTTGTTGCAGTTGTATGACGCAGACGGATCTGACCCCTGCTTTTGCACATACTATTAATAATAATAATAATAATAATAATAATAATAATAATAATAATAATAATAATAATAATAATAATAATAATAATAATAATAATTTTAAACATCTGAGGAAAAAAATGGGATTTGCTATATACAGTTTACCTCCCGTTTAGAGACAATAAGGAGGAAGGAATGTAACGTTTAAGAGGAAACAAAAAAGAGCATTTGAGAGGCAACAAAGAGAGTCTTTGAGAAGCAACAAAGACAACATATGAGAGGCAAGAAAGAGAGTATTTGAGAGGCATCAAAGAGAGCATCTGACAGACAACAAAAACATAATTTTAGAAACAACAAAGACAGCTTTCAAAGAAAACAAAGAAAACATTTCAAAGAGAACAAAGAAAGCATTTCAAGAAGAACAAAGACAGTATTTGTGAAAAAACAAAGACAGTATTTGAGAAAAAACAAAGACAGCATATGAGAGTCGACAAGTACATTAGTTGACAGATAACATGAACAGCAACTGAGGGACCAATATCACTTTCATAGTCCTCGTGAAAAATAAAATAAATATTATTTTTCCCGGATATATGACGCCGAAACATTATTATTCTTAAAACATAATAATAATCCGCTACTCGTTTTATCTATTGTTCATTTCAGCAGCTCCTCCCAGCAAATTAAAATATAAAAAGTACATGCGAGTATTTGTTAGTTCTTGGGAGTATATAGGAACACCTGGAAGCACTTGAGAGTTTATGGGAGTAATCAGAAAATGTATGGGAATACATGGTACATGTGAATACATGGACTACGTGGAAATAATGGGAGTACATTGCAATACTTGGTAGCTTATGGACGTACATGGAGAGACATGGAAGTATTTGGAAATTCATGGGAGTACTTGGGAGTTCATGGGAGTTTAAAGGAGTACATGGGAGTTTATGAGAGTACTTGAGAGTACACGGCAGGACCTAGAAATATGAAAGAAAACTAAACGACAGACACTCCAAAGTCTTAACCGGACACGAATAAACACTAAAGATATTTTTATAATGGAAACGTTTCTGTCCTGGGACCTGGGAGTGAACATGATCCCAGGACTGAAATGTTTCCACAGTAAATGTTTTAAACGTTTGTCACGTATCTTTAACCCCAACTTGTCGGTATTATATGCCAGGTTTTCATCCATCGGCTTCAGTAATACTAAAATACTTTCTAGCTAACGTTCCTGCTCTTGTTTAAGTTATATGGCTGAAGGGAATGATAAATCTGCCCACTGGAAAGCAATAAACAGATAAGGGCCATTGATGCATGGACAGCGCGAGTGACAAAAACCACGAGTCCAGTAGTTATCTGTCAGGTGGATGTGTGGGGATCATGAGAGCCATCTAGTGGTCACATCTGACCCTAGATGGTATGGTGACTGCAAGGAGCGTCACGGTGTTCTAACCATGTCAGAGTCGAAGTCAAAGATCTATTTCCACATGATACAACGTTTGTACAGAGAAAGGTGACATTTGGTTGTGCATGCAGAATTCGTTACCTCGTTTGTGGTAATGATTATAGCTACACGGACTTGCTGAAATTTGTGCCCATGGCGTCCACGAAGATAGTTTCGTGGTGTTAATACCCTCGTCACTGAAACGAGAACGAAGAAGGATAAGACCTGTTGAAAGTAGCAGCTGGTTAACGTCCTTGAGACCTCTGTCCTATTGTGATAGTTATTCTCTACCATTCTCTTGCTCCGCTTGTACAATGGAATAGTTGACCTGACTGTAGGTGGGTTCCTAACGGTGAGTAGTGTGTGTATTCTTCTCTATGACTATTCATTTGAATGTAAAATTTAAAATGTATTTGGTGAGGGGTTGAATATATATCGCACAAGTTGTTCCTGTGTTTGCATTTTTTTCATGAGTGATTGAAGTGAAGCCAATACTGAACGATGCTAGTTTCACAGCCCAGTAATGCAGGCCTGCAGCACGGTAGTACACTGGCATTAGTTAAATTCATGCAACATCTGGAGACTGGGAGGTGATCAGGCTTAAT